GTGTCTATATATATATATATATATATACCACATCTTCTTCATCCATTCATCTGTCGATGGACATCTTGGCTCTTTCCATAGTTTGGCTGTTGTGGATATCAATGTCCACAATATCCACTCTGCACTCTTAAGAACAAAAAACTTCTGCATTTCCCACACTCTGCCAGGTCCACCTTTTTCTCCTCCAGGACTGGAAGGATGATTGCCACAGAACTATGTCTGCATACTGCAGTTAGTTTTGTCAATCACTTATCTTTTCCTTTTTATTCATTCTTGATTTTTGCATAATATGCTTAGCAACTCACAAATAAATTAAACCTAAGAGCCATGGAATAAGTCCAAAGCAGTGATTGTGTTACATAAATGGTGAATATGTTCTTTGTAACAAAAAAATGGGTTTTTGTTTTTTTTTTTTAAAACTGCTTTTTAAATTTGATATGGTCTCTAACAGTGGTTTCCATAACTTCAGTTACAGAAAAATTTGGTAACTTTAAGTCGATTTCCCACATATTAAAAATGGCATACTTTTGAGTGCAGTACTTTTTTTTAAGATACGTATTTCTCTAAAAACCTTAGATAAGTTAGGGGAAGACATTAGTTAATAGTGCTTTGCATGTAATAGGGAGGCAGTGAAAATTTGTCAAATGAGTAAATGAATAGAGAATGGATTTTTTTTTAATTTTGTTATTTGAATATAGTCAACACAATATTACATTGGTTTCAGGTGTACAACATAGTGATTCAGCTTCTCTATATGTTATGCTCTGCTCACCCCAAGTGTAGCGACCATCTATCACCATCTAACACTATTACAATATTATTAACTATATTCCCTGTGCTGTGCCTTTTATTCCTGTGACTTCTTCATTCCATAACTGGAAACCTGTATCTCCCACCCCCCACTTCACCCAGTTTGCCCATTTCCCCCACCCTCTTCCTTTTTGGCAACCAGCAGTTTTTGTTTAGTAGAGAACAGATTTTTTTTTTCTTTTTTGGAGCATTTGACTACAGGCTTTTATGCATGCTATTTTATTTAAATCCTGGGACTACCCTTGGGGGTAATGATTTTATACACATTTTACATGTGGAGAAACTGAGGTTTACAGAAGTAAAATATACAGGGCTGCCCAACTGTAGTGACAGGCCTGTGATTTGAACTCAGGCAGTCATTCATAATGAATCACATTATCCTCTCATTTAGATGGAGTTAGAAAAACTGTTAGTAGGAACAGGTTTAATGCATAAAACAACTAGCATAGCTTTAGAAAACAAGCCATTGAGACAAAATGAAAAAAAAAAAATGGACTGCTGATCTATGTTGTTACAGATAGGAAGTTAGTGTTGGTTCATAGTTTCATGTGAAGATGTTTTGAGTTTAAAGGTATAAATTTAGAATTTGGTGCCCCCACACTTTATCATAAAAAGAAAAGGAACTGCTCAGAAAAGTGGATGGAGCAATATCCTAAAGGAATTATGTCACCAGTACCCCAGGCCTGAGGATAATTGAGGTGTTGAGGAAGTTGAGACACAGTTTACAGTTGTGATTCTGCCCAGAGACTGAGGAAGATGAACCAAAATATGGTTAATTTACCCAACACCTTTATAGGAGGTTGGTTGTCTTTTGAGTAGATGCTTTTTTTTCAACACATATGACACACTGCAGGATAGAAGCCCTGAGTATTTGGGGAGGCTTATCTGGGGTAGGTTAAGAGTAAATTCAAGTCATTTTGTGCAGTCTTCATTTGGGTTGAGCAGTACATGTTGCCTGTAGGATAAGTGGAATATTTTTGATAACTGGGGAACGTTTTCACTCTCTGTAAGACTCAGTGCCTCAGAGAACTCGCCAACTTTTTCTTGGGCTTTCTTAGTCAGTACACCACCCAGCTTAGCTGCTCATCCCGAACCAGGATGCTTTGGTAGACAAAGCCTGTGAGATGGAAAGACAGAAGAAGAATACTTCTATCAGCAATAACACAGACATGACGTGGGATGAATTGAGATTCGGACACTTGCCTTTGGCATTTAAGTGATTGGTTTTGCTTTTAAATCTATCAGAGTATGTTTGTTTTCCGTAAAGGTCATAGAAGTTTCTTTATAATGGCAGAGACTTCTCTGGCAATTAAACTCTGCTAAGGTCCCTGCACATTATTCTCAAAGTACCATATTTAATGGGTTTCGTTATCTGAGGCAATTTTTGGAGGTGGGTGATGATTGTATAATATGCGATCTTTTTTACAAGATCAATAGGTCGTCTGTTGAAAGCACGGCTTCCTGCATGTGTGTCTGCTGGTTAGTACACTGTGTTGTAACAATATTAGTAATTTATTAGTTTCAGTGTTTTTACTGTTTACCAAGAGACAAATGTATTTATACTACATATTTTCTCCCACAGAACTCTACTTTGACAATTGAAGAATTTCATTCCAAACTGCAAGAAGCTACTAACTTCCCACTGCGACCTTTTGTCATCCCATTTCTGAAGGTATCGCACAGCTCACTG